TGGGGAATGTAGGTGTTCCCTCATTTGCAAAGAACATGTCTTCATTGGTGCTTACAGAGTTTGCCATTTATTTTTGGCCAGTCTCCTGTTCTCTTACCATTGGAAATGAGTTTGAATAGTGGAGGAGGCTTGATCCTCAGCTTGGTCTATTTTTGGTGGAGATTTAATGGAAGCCATAGATTTGTTAACTTATAAGTGATTGGCTGAGCACGGTGGCTCACACCTATAATTGTAGCACTCTGGAAGGCTGAGGCAAGAGAATCCCTTGAGCTCAGGAGCTCAAGAGCAGCCTGAGCAAGAGCAAGACCTCATCTCTACTAAAAATAGAAAAAGTAGCCAGGTGTTGTGGCAGGCACTTGTAGTTCAAGCTACTCAAGAGGCTGAAGCAAGAGGATTCCTTCAGCCTAGGAGTTTGAAGTTGCTGTGAACAAGGCTGATGCCATGGCATTCTAGCCTAGGGCAGCAGAGTGAAGCTGTGTCTCAAAAACAAATAAAACAAAAAAACCCCACCAAAACTTGTAATCAATTGGCAGATCTGAATGAGCTCCTAGAGTGGTCTTAAGAAATATGTTTTGTTTTGTTTTGTTTTTTGCTCTGTAATTAGCTTTATTGTTTATCCTTTAAAAAAGATGTTTATAGAATTCCTCTTTGCATACATAGTGAGCTTATAGCAGGCCGAGTTATACAGATCACCTGACCTCTTCACTAGTTTTCCCTTTTTCCTAAAGGAAAAAAGTCAACACGAAATATGCTTTAGAATCCTTGCTGAGCTACACAGCATTTATCATTCCTGTTCCTTGAGGGCAAGAGCAGAATTTATTCATCTATCTATTCCTACTCCCTTGACAGAATCTGGCAGGTGCTTAGTAAATGTTCATTGAATTAATTGCTCGTCCAGAGGAGATGAATGAAAAAGAGGAATCCAAGATGTTCTGTGACATTTGCCTGGGTTTTACCACAAGTTGGAATCAAATTGTTGTTTGACATGATGGTGAGATACTCACTGAAATGTAACCCGCGTTTTCTGTGTTCCTTTCATCTTTTAGAATTTCTCGTTTTTCAAATGTGTATCATCTCTCGATTCATATATCAAAAAACTTTGGAGCAGATACCACAAAGGTTTTTTATATTGGCCTGAGAGGAGAATGGACTGAAGTAAGTTCGGTTAGAAAGGCTGTCCCCTGTCACCTCTCTCTTTCTCATCTTTTTCTATCTCTGTCTCTCCATTTTCACACTGGTGGTGGGAGCTTTCAGGGAAGGGGAAGAGCAAGTAAGACATCAGTTGGTCCCAGGCTGTTTTTTAAGGGACTTAAAATTACATAGTTTGTACATATTGAGTTTCCCACGTCGCAGTTCTTTCCTTTCAATATATTTTGATACTCTTTACTGTTTCAGGCACCAGAGATAAGCTGATAAACAAGACAGGCAAGTTCCTGTTCTCATGGTACCCCCATTGCAGTAGGAGGAATGACTCTTTAAAAAGTGAATCATGAAAAAAGAAGAAAAAAGGGTGAATCATGAATAATGCTCTTTGCAGGCTTTTTAAGATAAAAAGTATCAGAAAAGGGGCGATATTAGATGATGATGATGACGTCTAGAAATGAACCTGAATAAGAGAGTTCTTCAGTGTGTGTTGTCTGGGAAAGGATAGTTCTTGAATGGTTAGCTGACCCAATCTTTCGGTTTTCTTGCAGCTTCGCCGACATGAGGTGACCATCTGCAATTATGAAGCATCAGCCAACCCAGCAGACCACAAAGTCCATCAGGTGACCCCACAGACACACTTCATTTCCTAAATGCTGGCCAAGGCTCCCACAGAGTCGCTGTGTCAGTGAAGTTGTACAACTACCTGATGGGAAGGACAAAGGGAAGAGGCTCCAGAGAGAGTTGGCTGCCACTACCTCTGCCAAGCTTTTTCTTTAAGGCTTGCTGCAGAAATTTGGCCTACGGAAGATACCACACCACTGGGAGGGTCGTGTGGATACTGAGGGACAATCGTGGTTTTCTAGGGCACTGCAGAAGTCGGGTCTTGGGCTGGGTGGCATCTGGCAGTTATGGATAATGCTTGCTTTTCCAGTGGATGTGGCCATGGGATTCCAAGTGTCTTGTTGCTTTGTGGCAGGATTTTTGTGTCACTTGTTTTTACAAAATGGAAACTATTTCTGGGCTGCAGGAAACTTTCTGAAGCCTCAGGTTCATGTTTGTATTAGCCATCAGGAGGGTCTCCAACTAGAAATTTGTTCCTGCTTGCTCCTTTTCCCTGTCATTGTTCAGCATTCTAGTCAAGTTGCCTAGCTTGGAGTTGTCTGTCATACATGAGTGCTCCGTGGTTCTAGCTAGAAGGGCAGGAGTCCCCTGCTGATGTGTAATAGCTTGGGGAGAAAGTCTTCTTTCCCACTGCCTAGCTAAACAATATAGGGAAAGCATGGGAATCATTTCTGTGTTTGTGGGTAATTTTGTTGGGGTAAGATTGAGACTTAATTAAGATTACCCCTTGGAACCTTTGTAATGTTTATTAGCTTCTAACTAGTGTTGTAAGTTCACTGCCAGAATTTGAAGATCTCTGAGTTCTTTTCATGGCTTTTATTCACTGTGACTAATAAGCTTCCTAATAAATCCTTGCCAGAGACTTAACATTTGTTTTTTCTTCCGAGTTCTTGATAATACTGACGAAAATTTCATTTTACTGGGAAGCGTATTGTACTTTGAAATTTTTGTTGTCGTTTTGAACTAGGTAGATCATAAGAAATGCCATAATTACATCAAGACTGGATCAGTTTCTTCTGAAAAGGTCAAGCTTAATTCTGTACTATAGGTTAAAAACACTCCTGTACCCACTTATAAAAAACTATATCCCATTTCTCATGAAGAGAAGTAATTTGTGGAGTGACATTTGCAAAAATAAGAACAGATTTTAGAGCTCAACATAAGACATGAAGGTGAGGAAGTGAGCACCACATGCTGTCTAAAGGTGGATCAAAGACTCTGGAAATTTTGAAGCACTTGAAAGATAATTTAAGTATCTGAAAAGTCGATTTGAGATAGTCAGTATTCTTCTCTTTGCAGAAAATAGGAACAGGTGATGAGAGAACTAGTATTGAAACCAGTCCTCTTGAGAGAATTTCTCTAAGGGATTGGCCTGCACTGTTGTTAGAAAGATATAGCCACTGTTTCTCCAGCTTGTCCTGGGGAAAATCTGCCACCACCAAGTCTTGTCAAGGCTCAGAGTTTCTAAAATGAAGCTGGAAATCAACCAGAACACAAACGGTTCTTGATGCACTAATAAGAGTCCCATTCAGTTGGCTGTTTTATTTCAGTAGGATGATTTTGGATGTAAGAGGGCTACATTTTAATTTGGAGTAGGGGGAAAATTAAGTTAGAAATTTTAGAGCAGGCTTGCCTTTTAGTAATTCCGCTAGTTAACGGCACTAATCACAGGTAGCTGCCAAGACTGAGCCTCTGAAGGATTTGCTAGAAGTGCTATGGTGTCTCAAGTGATCCATGATCAAGGATGGAGGAGGAACTGCTCATTCTTCTGTAAGCAGGCCCAGCAGGGATTCTGTGGGGAGTGGGGTTAGATGTATTGTTTTACATTTTTATCCCCTTTCTCCTTGACATCCAGTCTTGAATCCTCTGGCTTGCTGTGGTCCCTTGAGTCCACAGTTTTCCTGCCCGGAATCCTGGTATTTTAGGTACCATCTTTGTGACCTGTTGAGTACTTAAGACCAAACTGCCTCTAAGCCTGGGGAAAGGCTTACAAACTTTGTTGCTACCAACTTTGTACTGTTTTCTTTCAGTTTAAAGAAAAAACTAGTATCTCAGTGTGCAGTGAGATGGGTTTTAAAAAAAGGAAAAAATATATAGCTTAAGCTGGGAGAATGAGTCCTAGCTTGAGAGACAAATGTGACTCATTTCCTGTGTGCAGAGCCCCACAGGTTCTCTCAGGGACATCACCTTCAACTTGTTTGTCTCCCAGACTTTCTGTGGTCCCTGGCCCCTATTTCTACTTTACCAGTGCAGCAAGGAGCTCAGCCTCTTTTTGTTCGTAACAACGAGTTCATTTGATGGTGATATTTTGGGCACTGGTTGCATGGCATTAGCTATCTAGGGCAGTACTAACACAACACAGTGCCTGTCCAACTATCCTGATATGACCTGAGTATGTTCTCAGGGTCCTTTTCAGCGTAATAAGACCTCACGCTGTGATTTTACAATGTATAAAGCGTGTTCACACGACCTCATTTGAGCCTAACAGCAAAGCTGTGAAGTAGGCAGGGTGGTGGTTATTACCGTTTTATAGCTAAGGAAGCAAGTCGGGGAGAGGGTGGGCAGTATTACAGTGTAATATTGAAGTTACTGTTTATTTACTTCCCTTACCCGAGCCTCAGTTTCCCAATCTTTTTTTTTTTATTATTACTTCTTCCTCCTGTAGTGTTTTCTTGCCCCCCATGGAGCTGAGATCACAAGGTCCAGCTGGCTGTCTCGTTGTCCTGTTGTTGTTGTAGAGACAGGGTCTCACTCTGGCTCACTGTGGCTCAGGGGGGGTCTTCAGCTGGTCTCAAACCTCTGAGCACAGGTGATCCACCTGCCTCGGCCTCTCACAGCGCTGGGACAACAGGCGTGAGCCACTACGCCCGGCCAGTTTCCCAATCTTTAAGGTAAGATTGGAGGACTAGGTGATCTCTAAGGTCTTTTCGGTTTAGAGTGTATGATTCCATCTGTGATCATGGAATAGGGAATGAAAACCAGGGACAGATACCCAAAGCCATTAGCAAGTGTGTCCCACGGGGTTGGGAAGATGGTAAACTTTATGCCAATCATAGTACCAGGGAAGCCTCTCCTTCCGGACAGCTTTCCTCCAGGAGGCCTATGGGAGGTGGTGGTGTGGCAGGTGGGAGCGGGTGAAAACTCCGCGATTCCGCCGCTGAATGACAGGGAGTGGCCCCACCGTCTCCAACATGGCAGCTTCCATTCCGCGAAGCCCTGTGCTCACTTCCGGGTTCCGTAACGCTGGCCAGGCCGCTTCCGGCAGCGGGATGGCTGGGTTCCCGGGACTCGAACGGAAGTTCCGGCGGGGGCGGCCGAGGGGGAAGAGTGTGTGTCTGTGCGGGAGAAGGAGGAGAATAGCCCAAGCGGTCTCGAGAGCCCCAGGGAGTGGAGGTACCTTGGGCGGGCCGGCGGCGGAGGGACAGAATGTGGGGAGGCCGGAGCTCCGGGAGGGTCCGGGGTGGGGAGGGGCAGCGAGATGGTGAAGAATGGGGGTGGGGAGTGAGGTGCGAAGGCGCTGTCCAGTCTTGCGGACTTTGGGAGTGGAGCAGGGGTGAGCAAGGGAGTGCCCGGGTATGATGAGGGGACTTAGCGGTCCAATGTGGAAGATCTCATTGTGGGGCAGGAGCTTCCCAGGGTCAAAGGTAGAGGGCTCTTTGTGGGCAGGTGCGAGTCCTGGGTCAGGGTGGGAAATGTCACTGTGGGGAGGAGGTGACCCATTGTGAAGTTCCCAGTGTAGGGAACCCTGGGTCAAGGTGGAAGTTTTAAGCGTGGGAAGGAGACTCTAGGCCAGGGAAGAAGACACCCCTCTGAAAGGTGGAAGACCTCACAGTGGAGAAGGAAGGGAATCCCAGCTGAGGGCGGGAGGTGGGTTCCCCAACGGGGAGAGGGACCTCAGGGTCAGAGGTGAAAGATCCCACTGTGGGGAGGTATCTCGGGGGTCAGAGATAGAAGGTGGAAGCCAGTTGAGAGGGGTGGGCGCCGCCGAGAAGGGCAGGCACTTAAGAGGCAGGTAGTGGAAGCTTCCGGCGGCGAGTTTGGAGGATGATAAGGAAGGGGAGGGGCCAGGCAGCCTGACATTCTTTGTGTTTGGGAGTCCCAGAGTGTGGTCAAGCCGGGGGCTCATTTGTGGCGGCGGCTGCAGGTAGCTCTGTCAGGGGAATGTGGAGCACCAGGTTGTAGTGGGTGGTGGACCAGAGTCCTTATTCTTCCTAGGGACATGGACAGCCCCTCTGGGCTGTGGGAATAGCTGAGCCAGAAACTGCTCTGCAGGCTGGATGGGGGCTGGATGGGAGGAGGAAGGTTGGAGATGTGGGGATGTGGGGGGAGCAGGGTCTGGAAGCATATTTCCCTGGCATTTTTCTCCCCTTCATTTCCCAGTAAGGCCAGGAGTTGAGGAGGAGGGGACTCAAGGGCTCTGGAGAAAGGCTGATTGGAGAGCGGGGAGGAGGCAGGTAGCCACTGAGAAGGACAGGGACACCCTGCCTCAGGGACGCAGTGGGCCCCCAGGGACACCCTGCCTCCCCCACCCCGTGGGCCTCCAAGCCCTGCCTCTGCCCATCTCCAACAAGCTTAGAGCCTGTGTGTTGGGCGGCGCCATATGCCGAGGGTGGCAGGTTCGAACCCAGCCCAGGCCAAACTGCAACAAAAGATAGCTAGGCTTTGTGGTGGACACCTGTAGTCCCAGCTACTCTGGAGGCTGAGGCAGGAGGATCGCCTAAGCCCAGGAGTTGGAGGTCGCTGTGAGCTGTGACACCATGGGACTCTACTGAGGGCGACAGAGTGAGACTCTGCCTCAGAAAAAAAGAAAAGAAAGAAAAATAAAGTTTAGAGCTTGTGGTTGGGCCAGAACCAAGGACATGAGTTCTGGGCCACTAGGGTGGTTGCCTCTGCCTTTCAGCCTTGGAATGGAGGCAAACTTCCTACCTCTCTGCCTGGGAACTTCTTGCCTATTTCCCTTTCTGCCCAGAATGGAACCTGGGTACTGTGTGGGGGCTGATGGTCTGGGTGAGCTCCTTGAGCCTGGAGTCTCCTCTGCCTGTCCTTGCTCTTGACCACTGCCCCCATGGTACAGGCCCCCGAGGTGGAGCCCTGTGGTGTATGTGTGGTAACACCATGTCTGTGCCCCTGCTCACCGATGCTGCCACTGTGTCTGGAGCTGAGCGGGAAACGGCTGCGGTAAGGGTCCCCTTTTACCCTTGGCAGCCCCCATACCAGACCTGGTGTGTGTGGGGGGATATGGAAAATGGAAGTGGCAGTGATGAGAAGGGAGTAGCCCAAGGCCAGGAGGCTTGGGGTTCATAGCCCAGCTGACTGCTACCTCAGTCCCCCTGGGCCTGAGGACCTAAGGGAAACCTCCCCATCTCCCTATTTCTCATCCTTTTCCAGGTTATTTTTTTACATGGACTTGGAGACACAGGGTGAGTGAGCTGGGAGGGCTGCTCCTGGGGGAGGGCCCCAGGCCCAGTGGGCAGGGCCAGAGAGGCTGTAGCCCTCCCTTTCTCTTCCCACATTGGGCCCCTCTTCCTTCCCCCCTACAGGCACAGCTGGGCTGACGCCCTCTCTACCATCCGGCTCCCTCATGTCAAATACATCTGTCCCCATGCGTGAGTGTCACCCCAGCAAGGGGGGGGGGCACTTAGGCTGGGAATCAGCCGGGGGTGGTCCTGTGGCCCTGGACTGTCTCCTGCCTGCTGCATCCTGGGGCTAGGGCTCAGGGCAGGCAGCCAGAAGTGCCCTTTTCAGCCTTAGTTTCTGTGGAGGCCCCAGCTCTGGGGCCAAGTGCCAGCCCACAGCCCTAGGGCCTCCTCAAGCTCAGGTCTCCTAGAACCAGCACCTCCCTGCACCCCTTCCCCAAGCACTTACCGGCTGCTGGGACCCCGTCATGCTGAGTGTTGGGCTCTGCTGCTGCTCCTTCGCTAGTGATGCCCCAACCACAGGCTCCAGCCCCACGTGGCAAGTTGCCTGGCAACACTTTAAACACAGGCTCTGCCTGCTAGGAGGGGCCCCTGGGGTGCCTCTGCCCCCGCTGGGTTCTGTGCTGTGGCTTTCTCATCCCTTCTGAGCATGATGGCCCTCTGGCTGTCCCTCCTCAGGCCTAGGATCCCTGTGACACTCAACATGAAGATGGTGATGCCCTCTTGGTGAGTTTTTTGGGGGAGTAAGGTGGGATTTGAGCTGAGGGAGCTGCAGGAGTTGGCCACAGTCTTCCAGTAGCTGCTAACACCTCTTCTTCCCCAGGTTTGACCTGATGGGGTTGAGTCCAGATGCCCCAGAAGATGAAGCTGGCATCAAGAAGGCAGCAGAGAACAGTAAGGCCCCAGCCCTCCTCAGCATCCTCTTTCCTCCACCCCCAGGAAAATGCTGGCACTGCCTTTGCCAGGCTCCCTTCCTGGGCCCCTTGGCAGCTTGTCCCCTTCCACTGATCCCCCCTCCTTGCAGTCAAGGCCTTGATTGAGCACGAGATGAAGAATGGGATCCCTGCCAATCGTATCGTCCTGGGAGGCTTTTCACAGGTGAGCGGGGAGAAGGGGTCTGGGTGGGAAGGTGAGCTGTTCCCTCATGACCTTATTCTCTTCTGCCTCCAGGGTGGGGCCCTGTCCCTCTACACAGCCCTCACCTGCCCCCACCCTCTGGCTGGCATTGTGGCACTGAGCTGTTGGCTCCCTTTGCACCGGGCCTTCCCCCAGGTGAGTGTCCCTACAGGCCCCTTTCCTACCCTTTGGGTCCTCCTCTGGCTGGAGATTATGCTGCAGCACTGGCTTTGCCCTCTGGGTCTTGTCTGGCCAATAGGCAGCCAATGGCAGTGCCAAGGACCTGGCTATCCTTCAGTGCCATGGGGAGCTGGACCCCATGGTGCCTGTACGGTTTGGGGCCCTGACAGCTGAGAAGCTCCGGTCTGTTGTCACACCTGCCAGGGTCCAGTTCAAGACATATCCAGGTGTTATGCACAGCTCCTGTCCTCAGGTCAGTGGGGGGACCAGTCCCACCCATCTCCTTTCTCTGTCCTCCCTCCAGCCAGGGGCCTCTTACAATCCCCTTTTGCTTCCTGCCAGGAGATGGCGGCTGTGAAGGAATTTCTTGAGAAGCTGCTGCCTCCTGTCTAAGCAGAGTTGCTGGCCCCCAGCATAGTCCCCAAGCTCATGGGGATCCCAGCAAGCAAGCGTGGCACCATCTTGGATCTGAGCCGGTCGAGCCCCTGTCCCCACCCTTCCTGACCCCATCCTCTTCCCATAGGCCTCTGGGGCAGATGGCAAGATCTGGCCAGGCCTTCCTTCCTGGCCTCAGCCACCTGGCCGTCTTCAGCAGGGGTGAGCTGCTTTCTTATCCCATTTCCCTGGAGGCAGGCCCCCTGGCAACAGTATTGGAGGGGCTATAGGCAGCTGGAGAAAGGGGCCCAGCCGCTGACCCACTCACTCAGGACCTCACTCATGAGCCCCGCTTTGGGCCCCCTCCTGTGACCTCAGGGTTTGGCCCATGGGGCCCACTTGGGCCCCTAACCCCAACTGATTCTGCCCAGATAATCGTGTGTCTCTCCTGCCTCTACACTAGCTGCTTCTCAATCATGAATGTGGCCATGGCCCCAGGGGCCCCCTGCTGCTGTGGGCTCCTTGCCCTGGGCAGGAGCGCTATTGAGGAGGTGGAGTCTTTCAAGGGGGCTTCCCTCAGCTGTTCCCCCACTTGGGGGTTGGGTCCTGCCTCCCTGTTACCCTCCTCTCTGCAGGCCTGGAGCCTGCAGGGCCGGACCGAGGCTGGAGGTCTCCCCCACCTGTCTCACCCCCACTTTGTTCCCACTCTAGGGCAGGAAGGTGGTGGGGAGTTGTGTTTTGTCTTCTGTCTCCATGTGGTTTTGGGTGTTTTTCTTGTTGTATCCTGGATTCCGATAAAATTAAAGAAATTGCTTCCTCAGTTCTCAGGCCTGGCTGATTCTCTTCAGTGAGTAGAGAGTAGCTATGTTTAAGAATATGCTCCAGTGTAAGAAAACTTTTTTATTTTAAATAGTTTGGAAAGTTTCTTGAGAGCAGTGTAAATTAGTGCCTGGGAGGAGGGGCTTTTACCCCCTCACTCGCTCTTGGTGGTCCTGATGAGTTCCTGGACCCTGTGAGAGATGAGAGTTAGAGGCCCCTGACTCCTGGTCAGTGGAGTCCTTGGCCTCATGCCTGGTGGGCTGAGTAGGCCCAGCTGGGGTCTGAGGTAGGGAAGGCCTTGGCTTAGCCCCAGAGGCTCTGGGGCCTGGGTTCCTGCTAGAGGCTAGAGAGCAGGCAGCTGCTTCTTTTTTCCTTTTCTGGTCCTTGGTAGGGGAGGGTCCTCAGGCCTGTGTGCTGAAGCCTAAAGGATTCTGCTTTTGCCAGCGCCATAGATCCTCACCTATGACAGAGCAAAGCCTGTGGTCAGGTCCACACTGGAACACCAGGACCACCTGCTGAGCAGCCCTGGGTGGGCATGCCCAGAAGTGATCAGCTCTCCTTAGTCCCTAATTCTCCCCCAGGGGCCAGGCCAACACTCACACATCCTGTCCAATCCTAAGGCTGCTGTCCAGCCCAGCTCTTCATGGGCCAGGTTGGGGTTGGCATAACAGGCAGCCACATCACCTTCTCGCCGTGCTACCACCTTGTACGGGATCTGCAAGAGGATTTGTGTGGTTCAGCTGAGCCAGTCCTAAACTCCACCTGCCGAGCTGCTGGCTAGCAGTGTCTCCCTTGCAGCACAGGTGGGCAAAGAAGACTGGACAGTGCTGGGACACTCAACTGGGTAGGCAAAGGGGAAGGGCCAGGACTCTTCTGCTGCTGAGGGTTGAGGTTGTGTCGGGGGTGGCCTACCTTCTTCCCAGAGGCCTTCTCCATGGCTTGGACCATCTGTAGCACTGAGTAGCCTGTGCCAGTGCCCAGGTTGTAGATCTGCCCGGGAATGAACAAGCTTTGTGGAAAGGGCTGGACTAGCCACTTCTCTGGGCCCACCTTCCAGATGCAGCCCCTCCCCTCCCTCACTTCTCCCTTCTCTGCCTACCCGGCAGCCACACTGCTCCTTCAGCTTCCTCAAAGCTGCCAGGTGGCCTTTGGCCAGATCCACGACATGGATGTAATCCCGGACACCTACAGAGGAGGGCGTGGTTTGATGGGAAGTTTGTTCATTCCACCTCTGGTTCCTTCCTGGCTCCCACCCTAGGTCCTCCTGATCCTAGGCTCACCTGTGCCATCCTCCGTGTCATAGTCATTGCCAAAGACATTCAAGGCCTCCCGCCGCCCAATTGCCACCTGGGGGTAGACTTCAGGTCAGGTCCTCCCAGGTCCCCTGAACCAGCTATAACCCAAGGCCACCTCCTCTCTGTTCCTACCCTTCTCCCTTACCTGGGAGACATAAGGCATGAGGTTGTTGGGGATGCCCTGGGGATCTTCACCGATGCAGCCAGAGGCATGGGCACCCGTGGGGTTGAAATATCGCAGCAGCACTGCATTCCAGGTCTGTGGGACACAGGTCAGATGACAGGGGACAGGGCACAGGCAGCGTGTCCCAGCTGAATCCACAGCCCTCTATCTCACCCCCTGTTCTCACAACTGTTCTCTAGAAATAAACAGGGGCTGGGGCCTTCCCTGCCAGTGTGGTGTGGCCTTGGGGAAGTCACTGCCACTTGCTGAGCCTTAGCTGCTTCCTTGGAGCTGGTGCTTAGGATCCCCCCTGCTGAGGCCGGTGGTGGGCTGTAAGGAGTCAGTCTACTAGTGGAGCTGGGGCTGGATCAAGGGGGAAACTCACCTTGTCTGCCTGGCACATGTCCCGGATCATTTCCTCAATGAAGAACTTGGACTTGCCATAAGGGTTGGTACAGCCACCTGTGGGATGGGCCTCATCCAGGGGCAAATACTGGGGGTTCCCATACACGGTGGCAGAGCTGCTGAACACCAGGTTCTTCACCCCACAGGCTCTCATGATCTGACCACGGAGGGGAGGGAGGTGTCAATGGCTTCCACCTCACACACTATTCCCACCTATAAACACTCTGATACTTGGTGGCGCCGTAGGTCAGTGGGTAAGGCGCTGACCACATACACCCAGGCTGGCAGGTTCGAACCCAGCCCGAGCCAGCTAAACAATGAAAACTGCAACAAAAAGATACCCGGGCATTGTGGGGGGCACCTGTAGTCCCAGCTACTTGGGAGGCTGAGGCAAGAGAATCACTTATGCCCAAGAGTTTGCAGTTGCTTGCTGTGAGTTGTGATGCCACAGCACTCTACCCAGGGCAACATAGTGAGACTATGTCTCAAAACCTCCCTCCCCCCCTCCAAATCCCTGATACTCCTCCACAGGAGGGTGGGGCTGAAGTCATGAGCACTCTTCTTTATAGATGGGAAAACTGAGGCTTGGGAAGTAAAGCCATGCATCCAAGATGACACAGCTTGGACTCTGTGTTTGGTACTGCATGCCAGACTGGGGCCAACTAGGGACCCTCCCAGTGTCTGTGTCCCTGCCCCATGCTTCTCACCTCCAGAAGCTGGATGGTCCCTGTTAGGTTAACTTTGTAATAATCCAGAGGCTTCTGTACTGACTCGCCCACAGCCTTGAGCCCGGCAAAGTGGATGACCGCCATGAAACTGTGCTGCAGGGGCAAAGCCAGGATCAAAAATTGTTTTGTAGGCCCTAGCCCTTGGCAGTGCCCCCTGCCTGTCTGCCAGCCAGGCACTCACCTTTTTAAAGAGACGCTGTAGGGCTGCCTGGTCCAAGATGTCCATCTCCTCAAACTCCACAGAGCGGCCTGTCAGCTCCTGTACCCGCCGTAGGCTCTCAGGCATGGCGCCCCCTCCTGGTGGGGCACATGGAGCCCGCCAAAATCAGGAGGTGGGGTGCTGGCTTCCCAGGGACTAGCCAGACACACACACGGCTCTTGGTGATGGAGGTGGAACCCGGGTTTTCCTTCTGCCACCCTCTCCAGAGCCCCAGCCCCACCACCCCTGCTCACCACGGAAGGCATTATGAAAGTTGTCGATAACTACAGGTGAGTAGCCAGCCTCCAGCAGCTCCAGCACAGTGTGGCTACCAATGTAGCCAGCCCCACCTGTTACCAGCACCTTCTCTGCCATGGCACCTGCGCCCAGAACACGGATTCTCAGAAGTAGCTGAGGCTGCCTGCTCAGGGCCTCCTTCCCCCCGGAGTCAAGCCCCCCTGAGTTTAGAGGTGGCAGTGTGCCTTGAGTAACAGGGTGGCTCTGGAGTTAGCCCTGGTTCAAGTCTGGGTAACATCACTTTTTGGCCTTAGGCTTCCAACATCACTTACCTTCTCTTGGTCTCAATTTCCATCTCTAAGATGGAGCTAAAAATTGTGCAAACATCATGTGGTAGTGTGAGAGTTAAATGAGGTGGTTTTAAGGACTGACTGCCATGTACAGGTGGGGAGACTGAGGCAGGCACAAAGCAACATAGTTTTTAGTTCCATTTGATCCAGAGTTAGGAAGATGGAATGTGAGGATCAATGTTCCCTTCCTCAAGGTGACAGGGATGGGAGAGTCCTGGGCAGAAGGAAACATGGCAGCAGGATTGGGACCAGGGGTTCTCCAGGCTCAGACTCAGGCCTCCTCAGAAACTCCAACACCTAGCCAGTTAGGTGTAAACTAGCTCCTGCTGTTCTAGGCAGCCCCCATTTCACTTAAGGGTCAGCGAGGAGGAAGCAGGAAATAGCCGGATGGCCCCGAGGGTGGGGTCCTTTGCCAGGCAGGCCAAGCCCAGCTACTGGGCTGCTGCACCGCTCCTGGAGTGGGCCCCACCCCCAGCTGAACCTCTGCCCAAGCCTGGGCCAGCCTGTCACTCCTGGCCACTCCTGGCTTGGAGCAAGAGATCCTGCCCAACATTATGCTTCCCTAGATTGGACGACGTAGACGTGGACTTGGCCCCGTCTCCACTGCCAGGTGTACACGTCCGCCCTAAACAGCTTTGCAGGCAGAGGGGGCGGGGCGGGGCAGGGAGGGCGCCCCAGACAGTGAGGCCTTTCATTCCCAGAGACAGGGCCCGCTGCCGCCGCTGCCTTCCAGGCTGCCTCCTAGGCTGCCTCTATCCTCTTTGGGCTCCTCCAGCGCCAACCCACTTGACTCTGTGCCGGGAACTTATGCATTATTTTTCTGAATTCCCCAATATCTTGATGCGGCAGGTGTTATTACTGGCACCTCACAGAGAAAGATACTAGGGTCAGAGAGGTGACGCGGTTGCTTGCGGTCACACAGCCAGTGATAGCCGGGTGGAATCCGGATTTCCCGGCTGACAGCCCGGTTCCTCTTCCCAGGCACTTCGCCCTTCGCACTGCTCCCCCCTGGACTCTGCTCACCGCCCCCACCCTGCTCCGCCCCGCCGAGCCCGCGCACTGTGCGGACCCGGGAAAGTGATCGCGGACAGGCCGTGGTAGGCAGGAAGGTTGCTGTGAGGCCGGCTTCGCCCTGGACCCGCGGAGTGACCTTGCTCAGCCGTCGCCTCCTCAGTTTCCCCAGTTTGTATGATAGAAAGGGGGGCAGCCGAGCCTCGGTCTAGGCTCTGGGCCGGGAATGAATGAACCCGGGCCACGCCAGCCACCGCAGCGGAGAACTGGGGAAGAGGGAGTGGACCCACCCTGGCAAGACTCCGCTCGGAGGGCAGTCAGGGGCCTCTTGAAACTCCTTCGGTCCCTGCGGACCACTCTGACCCTCCCGAGCCCACCCCTCTCTTCATCCCGCTTCCCGAACCTGCTCGGGCTCCTCCAACCTGCGCTGGCTCCAGCGGCGCCGCCTCCCGCGCCCCGAACAGTGGTCCCTTTAAAAACAGACAGCCCACCCTGATCCCGCCCTTTCTCCGCCCCCAGAGAAACGTGTCGCTCAGGTTGCTGCCACTACGGGTACGCCGGGAGGACAAAAGGCCTCTGTGGTCCTGAAGCCAGCGTTCCCACCGGGATCGGGCGGGGAGCCGGGGACAGCGCGAGTCCGACTACGTGCTGGCAACTAGGGGCAAGGAGCCGCTCCTGCCTGGGTTCTCGCACCAGGCAGGTAAGCCCCGGCCCCATTCTAACCCGCAGGGTTTCAAACTTCCCGCTGTCTTGCCAACCTAATTCAAACTCTGCATGAAATATCCAACTCTACGGAACTGAAGTCACAAGAGGGCTGCGCTGAGTGACAGGATTGGGTCGGGGCCGCAGGGGACTGTGCTTCTGGGAAGTCTACTTTGAAAATAAATGAATGAGCTTGGAGGAAGCTCTAAAGCCACAGTAACCATCCCAGTGCCAACTCCTCTCAGCCTCCCAAACCGTAGCCCGCACCTGCTGGGAATGGTCTGTCTGCACCGGGCCTGCGTAATAGCGCTTAGAAAATGACTTTGTTTAAAAGGCAGGACTAGGGCAGATATGTAGGAAGCCACGACATACTGAGTGATAAAACCTGAAGCAGCCGTAAAAGCACAGTGCACAGGTGCTCCCCACCACAGGGCCTGGAGCATCGAGGTGGAGAGGCTTAGCGGAGCAAGTGGTGCTGCTGCTCCGGGGGAGCTTGTGCACAGCCCAGGTCACAGAGGAGAAGCCTCAGAAACAGCCCTTTGGGTGTGCTGGCAGCAACCGCTGCAGGTAGCTTCCTTAGCCCCAAGCCATTGATTTCCAGTCACTATGGATCTGGGGTTCTGGTGGGAAAATAGGGAGGAAATGCAATGACAAATAAAAAAGCTCGAAGTCTTTCTTCTCTGTGCAATGGTTGTGAAAATATTTATTCCTCCACTCTGACATATGCACACATATCCACGGAATACTGTAATGGTTCTGTCATTACACCTTTAATTACATAAGCTGTTTTCAAAAATCATGCCCAGAATACAGATTTTCCAGAGATGCTGGAGTTGGCAGATGGCCACCACAGCAGCTTAGCCCTCACTTTGTGAATGCCCTCTGCCAGCGTGGGGGACAATCTCCTCCATGCCCCCTGCTCTAAGGAGCCAGACAACAGGGGCCCCAAGGCCATGGCAGTGTGAAAGGTAGAGAAGGTAGTCAGCTGGCAGATGTCATCCACAGAGGAGCCTTGAGGATCATACCAAACAGGGAATGGGGCTCCCCTGGCCCTCAGGCATTGAATTGCAGGACCACTGGGGCCACAGTGAAGGGAGAGTTCAGCCTCTCCAAGGCCCTTCACCCATACTGAGGACTGGTTCTTCAGCTCCTCACCTCCCGTCTGCCAGCAGACACCTCTAGGCAGAGCTGGCTGTGGTGTGCCTGCTCCTTTTAAATCTCATTCTCATTTCCATGTTCCCATCCTCCATGAAACACCTGTGTACCATTTCACTAGACCCCAGGGCTTCATGTGACTCAGGGTCTTACAGTTTACAGCTAGCCTGAGCCACTTTGGAGTTGGTTTTCCTGTTCAGGGCTTGACAGATAAAGTCCCCAGCTTCCAGGAGCTTCTGGAGATTCACACCCTTTGAGAAACAAGTTAGAGGATGCAGTTAAGTCACCACAGGCCCCTAACACCGGGAATTAAAAACTGGCTTAAATTAAACTTCTAAGAGGTCCTTTATGATAGAGACCCTTCCTAGCACCCTGAGGGAAGTACTATGTTGCCCCTCTTCCCACAGACAGGGAAGGGTAAAACTGACAGTGGATAATGTGTAACACAGAATGGCTGTAGGGCAAAGGGGTTAAGCAAGTTTTTTCTCTTCAAAACTCCTTTACTTTTATTTTTTTTGTTTAGTAACTAAAACCTACATCTCTACCTCAGGCCAGTGCTCTTTGTGACAGCTCAAGATCATCTTAGTTGGCTAGGCTCAGAGCACAGTGGTTACAGCCAGATACACTGAGACTGGCAGGTTCAAACCAAGCCAGGGCCAGCTAAATAACAATGACAACTGCAACAAAAAACAGCCAGGCCTTGTGGTGGGCGCCTGTAGTCCCAGCTATTTGGGAGGCTGAGGCAAGAGAATCGATTAAGCCCAAGAGTTTGAGGTTGCTGTGAGGTGTGATGCCACAGCACTCTACCCAGGGCAACATAATGAGACTCTGTCTCAAAAAAAAAAAACCATCTTAGTTGAAGACAGGACTTAAGTTTGGGTGAAGGTCACAAGACTGTTTTATCTGAAAATGGGATGAATCTGGGCAGAGGCCTTAAGATTGTCTTGGCCCAAAGTGGGCTTATGGGATTAACTGGAACCTTTAAAAAGCTCTGTGCTTCTGTTCAGAGGGAGAACACTGATTTTTTTTTTTTTTTTTGAGACAGAGTCTTACTTTGTTGCCCTCAGTAGAGTGCAATGGCATCATAGCTCACAGCAACCTCCAACTCTTAGGCTCAAGTGATTCTCTAGTCTCAGCTTCCCGAGTAGCTGGGTCTACAGGCACCCACCACAACACTATTTTTAGAGACCGGGTCTCACTCTTGCTCAGGCTGGTCTCGAACCTGTGAGCTCAGGCAATCCACCCATCTCAGCCTCCCAGAGTGCTAGGATTACAGGCATGAGCCACTGTGCCCAGCAGGACGCTGATATTTTTTTGAGGCAAGAGTCTGCCAGCCTTCTCATTTGCCAGCAAGTTATTTTTATATTATTTTTATTTTAAGGGCTGCCCGCTGGGGGGCACCCCTGCCAGCAAGTTAATGAACTCTTTCCTTCTCAAAAAAACCCACCAGTGAAACACTGGACTGAACAACCATGATACTGAACAAATAAAGGTTAAGACAAACAGGCTGCTTCCGTAATAGTGGCACACCAGCTGCCTGTGAGCTCGTGTCTATCTGGCATCTGGGGTTACCCCTCTGGCTCTCCCTTGTATAAGATGCCTCAATCTGTGTAATGGCTTGTAGTGCCACCTCTAGGGCAGGGATCTCAGTCCTGTTCAGTCCTGCACCTCCAGGGCCTAGCACAGGACCTAACCTATGGAGGTCAAAAAGTGCACATTCAAGTGGGGCCTGTGAGGCCGAGAGAGAGGAGTTAGGGCCAGGCAGAAAACCTCTACTCGTAACAACAGCTCCTACTTGCTGATGTGTATTATGTGCTCAGTTCTGTGCCAAGTATTCCACAGACATTTTTTTTTTCTTTTTGAGACAGAGTCTCACTTTGTCACTCTTGGTAGAGTGCTGTTGCATCATAGCTCACAGCAACCTCAAACTCTTGGGTTCAAGTTATTCTCTTGCCCCAACCTCCTGAGAAGCTGGGACTAGACACCTGCCAATGCTTGGCTATTTTTTAGAGACAGGGTCTCACTCTTGCTTGGGCTGGTCTCGAACCTGTGAGCTCAGGCAATCTACCTGCCTTGTCTTCCCAGAGTGCTAGACATTTTTCTTTTTTCTTTTTTTTTAAAGAGACAGAGTCTTACTTTGTCGCCCTTGGTAGAGTGCCGTGGAGTCACAGCTCACAGCAACCTCCAGCTCCTGGGCTTAGGTGATTCTCTTGCCTCAGCCTCCCGAGTAGCTGGGACTACAGGCGCCCACAATGCCTGGCTATTTTTTTTGTTGCAGTTTGGCTGGGGTTGGGCTGGAACCTGCCACCCTCAGTATATGGGGCTGGCACCCTACTCACTGAGCCACAGGCACCGCTCTAGACATTTTCTTACTTATCTTCAAAACAGTCCTATGTATCGGTGCTATTATTATCCTCAAAGAGATGAAATAATTTTTGTAAGCTCACACAGCCTGGCAAGACTAGGTTTTAAACCCAGTTCCATCCTACCCCAAGCTGCTGCCACCCCACCACCCAAGGCCCTGTGGACTGTGGTGGAGCTCTGGTGGGCTAACTCTGCTCCCTCATTTTATAGAGAACAAAACAAAGGTCCAGAAGGGACTGACCCATTTCAGGTCATGAATCTGATTCCTTTCTCTCCATACACCCTGGTGCTTCCTAGAACCGAACTATCAGTCATACTGAGACCCTGCCCTCCTTGTGCCATACTCATGACCTCATTCAACTACACTTTGTTACTTCAAAAACATTTGACAAAATATCCACAACTCCCAGGCACCCACTCCCCAAGAACTCCAGACCAACCCATCAGCTTCAGTCCTCTGGCTTCAGGCCCAGCCCCGGTCAGTTCAAGGCTGTCACCACCAGGGGGCAGGCGGGCTTACCATGTGAATGCCCAGGCCAGATAGCATATAGACCAGGTCTTCAGTGGCCAAGTTTCCTGATGCCCCCCGTGCATAGGGGCAGCCTCCAAGTCCTGCCACAGAAGAGTCCACAACACTCACTCCCATCTGGAAACATAAGGAAGGTGAAACATGGCCGTTGCCAGGGACCAGAGCCAACAAAGCCAGTCCCTGCAAACCTCCCAGTCATCTATTGCCTGAGGTTCTACAGAAGCGGTTCTCAACCTTCCTAGGGCCGTAGCCTTTTAATACAGTTCCTATGGGCTGTGACCTACAGGTAGAGAACCAGTTTTACAGTGAGAATCATTCTAATTATGCCTTATGATTCTGTTGACGTGAAAAAGACAGTGCTTCTTTTTTTTTGAGACATGAGTTTTACTCTGTTTCTGGATACAGTGCTGTTCTGTCATAGCTCACAGCAACCTCAAACTCCTAGGCCAAGTGATCCCCCTGCCTCAGCCTCCCAAGTAGTTGGGACTACAGGCACCTGCCACGTTTTTGTATTTCTTTAGTAGAGACAGGGGTCTTGCCTTGGCCTCCCAAAGTGCTAGGATTACAGTTGTTTTTTTTTTT